CTATTTCAAGCACAAAATCCTTCCAGAACTGGCATTTGAACCGCACTTCTACGTTGGTAATGGGGACAGGCTCGACCACCACAGCAAAGGCTAGTTGGAACCAGAGACGTAGTAAATCTAGTCAAAGTTTTAATCTGAACTTTAAAAGGGCTATTCCAAGGTGCCCAACCTAGAGGGACAGGGTACCACACCTTGGATAGCTCCTTTAAAGCTCAAATCAAAACCTGAAGGATCCCTGGTGGCACAGTGGTTAAATGCCAGTACTGCAGCCACAAGGAGGTGGGTTTGATCCCAGGCAGGGCTCCAAGGTCCACTCAGCCTTCCATCCTTTCGTAAGTCAGTAAAATGAGTACCAGCTTGTTGGGGGCAATTGGCTTACACACTGTAGACTGCTTAGAGAGTACTAGTTTACTGATAAATGGGATAGAAATGTTATTGCTATTACTACTGAAGTGGATTCACCACCTTGCTCACATGTCTCCACTGAATGCAGACCAGGCTGTGTGGTTCTGTCCTCCAAAGACTTTATCCTATTCAACTTTTAAACTATCATAAAAGATTGATAATGGTGGCTTTGGCCATACCTATTGCACAATTCTGTCTCTCTCTTTTTGCTGCCTTGTCCTCCGATCATGGTTAGTCCACTGTTGCCATAGATGAGGAAATCCATCAATAAGCTCCCAATCACACTAGTTCACAGGAGCAGTAAATTATCCTGTGGCAGTTCTGGGATTGCACACTCATGTGCTGTCAGTGTCTCCTCCTCTCCTCCACCTCTGTCTCCTTCACTATTCTAGAACAGACAGAGGTGTTTTAACTTTTATTTTGTAAAACCACAGAGTTAGCATAACTCCTGAATTTCATCATGAAAACAAAACACACATCCACAGACGAAAGGTCTGTTGGATAGGGCACAGGGCAGGGTTAAGGACAAGGATAGTAGCATGAGAGGCCAGCAACAAGCCTGGTAATGTAATGAAGGAGCATGCAACAGGGAGTGCTCCCAAACCGTTATGCTCCCTTCATTAATGCAATCATAGTGAGAACAGGGACGGTGTCATAAAGTACCAAGAGAAGGAAATGGCTGGTGGATGTGGTACTCAGGAAGAATAGTGGGTAGCTGCCACTGCTGCTGACAACCATTCCTGCCTCTGCTGCCTAAAGTGGTTGCCTCACTCTGCCTAACCATAGGACCACCCTGCCTCTTTGACCAACTGTTTGAAGCAGAATGCTGGTCTCAGTAGAGTTTCAACTTGACCAAAAAAGATAATTCTTACACTGTTGAAGTATAATACTGAAACATGAAAAACCTTAGTCAATAATCCAGTCCTGAGTGTCCTTCCTTGGATTAGAAGTAAATTCCACTGAGTTCAATGGTACCCCAGATCTAAGTCTAAACACAATCCAGATCTAAATCTTAGGGCAAACATAACAACTGAGAAATGCAGACAGTCTTGAAAGTCTTGGATAACTTTCCACCCACTTTTGTTTTCAGTTCAAAGGATTAATTTCCTTTTGGCTAAAGGAGCTGCTACCTCATACCAGTGTGGTGCAGGAACCCACAAGGGTCTGTCAAAGTTAAAACAAGTGGGACATAACCCCTTTCTCTGTAAAACAGCTGTTCACACACATGGACAGATCTCTGCAACAAGTGAGTTTGAAAATTTTAACTTTGTGTCTCTGTGATTTTGATGGGTGGCCTCAGGTCCCACAACTTGCTGGAGAAGAGTGTTAACTCTTCCCACCCCACCCCATGTGCTGTAGGTTTGAGAAAAAGCTTAAATTGGCTTCAACTGAAGCTCTCCTCCCATCTTAGCATTACTGGAATACAAGGAAACAGATCAGAAGGCCTGTCTGTATCCATTCCATACACTCTGGTTCCTTATTACTGCACTAAAATCCCAAACTACTAAAAAGACCTGCAACATTTCTAAAAAATGCCTTTTCAGATTTTTAAAAACTTTTTTTGGATTCTTTATCCACAGATTCAGTCTTCCAAGACTTGTGTGTGTGTGTGTGCGCGCACACAAACACAAAAGAGCAAATCTTAATTTTCTATTTTATATATATAGGACACCATTTTTACTATGCCACTGAATTTAATGAGACTTGAACATACATCGATTTTGGCATTCATGGGGGGTCCTAGAACCAATCCCCAGCAGATACTGAGGGCCCACTGCAAATAATTTCATTTGCACACTGCCCCAAACTTCTGGCCTTTACATTTTGCGGACAACTCCCACAAACCTCAGTCAGCATGGCCAGTGGTTAAGTGATTGAGTAGTTATCTAGTCCAAAATGCCTGGAAAGTCAGTAGTTTTACCAATATAAATATACCCACCAATCTTCACTGACAGGCTAAATAGAGGTTTTACCAATATAATTTACCTTTTACCAATATAATTAGGCATGCCAGGAATTGAATGTAAGACCTCCTGCGTACAACATAAACACTCTACCAAAGAACTATGGCCTTTTAAAATGTATACTTATATTATCAGGCACATTTATTTGTACAGGTTGAGTCTCTCTTATCTGGAATTCCAAAATCTGAAATACTCCCAAATCCAAAATTGTCCATGTGGGTGGCTGAGACAGTGGCAACCCTTCTTTCTGATGGTTCAGTGTACACAAACTTTGTTTCATGCACCAAATGATTAAACATATTATGTATAAAATTACCTCCGAGCTATGTTCATAAGGTGTTTACAAAACACAAATTAATTTCATGTGTAGACTTGGGTCCCATCTCTAAGATATCTCATTATGTATATGCAAATATTCCAAAAAACTCTGAAATCCCAAACACTTCTGATCCCAAGCACTTTGGATATGGAAGACTCAACTGGCATTTTAATTTATTTTCAATTTTTACATTTTTATTGTTGTTTCAAATTGCAAGAAAGGAAATTTCCATTGAAACATTAGGAAAATCTTCCTGATGGTAACTGCTTTTTGACAATGGAATAGACTGCCTTGCTATCATGGTAGACTGTCCTTCATTGGAGGTCTTTAAAAACAGTTTGCTGTCTCCCAGGAGTGCTTTAGTTGTGTATTCCTACATGGCAGGGAGTTGAACTAAATATAGTCCTTGAAGTCCCTTCCAATTCTATGGTTCTGTTTCATTACTTCCCCCCTGCTCTCAAACTCTCCTTGGTTCTGTCACCTTTAAAGAATAGCCTCCTAAACTTCCCACTTAAGAAAGAGAAATACTGTAAAATTAACAAATGGGGTGGTGGTGGCAAATATTGCCAGACTGCTACTTTAGAAAAGGAAATATGTGGAATCCACCCACTTTTCCAATGTGTATTAGATAAGGCTATTCAGGAATACCACTGATTGCAAGTACTATTTAAACTACACAAAAGCAAAGTCAATGGAACAGGAGGTACAAATGAAAAAATTACAATAACAAAAATGAAACTCAAGAGGTCAAAATCCACCTGTGCATTTCCTGCCCTTGAGCCTACAAGTAAAATGTACTACCCAGGCTAGTAAAAAATCTATCAAGAGTAGCACAACCAGAGTTTGATCAGGAATGTTGACAGGTCCCCTGATCATTCTATCACTTCGTCTGTTGCTTAATATATGTGTTCTTCCATCTGCACAGCCTTGAACCTTTCCACACCGATGGTACCAATGCCTTTCCCTTCCCTAAGCTGTATAAGCAAAAACACATTTTAAAATTAACAGTTAAATGATATAATCAGATGTACAAACTCCTCAGACGTTACCCTCCACAATTTAAATCCAGGCCATAAGGACAGGCAGAAATTGAGAGAGAACAGAGAGATGCAGATATCAGAAACACACAAGAAAAGCCACACACTATCAAAAACATCTGAAGAGATTTTTTCCTGGATTAGGAGCATGCATTGAACAAGGCCTCCCTATCCTGTGACCATCCAGATGTTTATTTATTTATTTATTTTATTATCTAAATATTTATTGTAGTTCAGATATGCTGGACTACAATCTCCATCCCTTTAACCCTAGGGTGGCGAGATTGTAGTCACATCTGGAGCTTTGAAAGGCTGAGCTAAACCCTGACAGTGAAAGAAAAGCTGCCCACCAAATGCCACCTCTCGCTTTATTGCTGTGTGCTTTCACTGAGCGACCCTTTTACAGGGTTTTCTTGGTAAGATTTGTTCAGAGGGGGCTTGCTTTTGCTTTCTCTGAGACTGAAAGAGTGTGACTTGGCAAGGTCATCCAGTGGGTTTCCACAGCCGAATGCTCCATGGCCGAATGCTGCAACCACTACACCAGGCTCTCATTTGACTCTCTGTTTATGTGCCTTCAAGTCACCAGTTGACTTATGGTGACCAGCAGGAGGCTTATAGGGTTTTCTTAGGCAAGGAATACTCAGAGGTAGTTTGGCCAGATCCTTCCTCTGAAATATAGCCTACAGCAGCTGGTATTTGTTGGTGGTCTCCCATCCAATTCCTAACCAGGGCCTACCCTATTTAGCTTCCAGGATCAAACAGGATTTGGTATCTTTAGGGTATTTACACCACAACCTGACACTAGAGAAGTTTTATTGCAGCAAATTTCTACCATCCCTCTGGCAACTTCCTAGCCCAGAAGCAGTACAGGAGGGGATGGAAATAAAGATTTTCTCTAGGTCTTAGCTGGAGATAAGAAGGTGAGTCACAATGGTAGAGTGGTAGAGTGGTTTGAGCATTGACCTATGACTCTAGGGAACAAGATTCAAATCCCAGCTCATTCATGGAAACCCAATGGGTGACTTTAGTCAAGTCACACTTTCTCAACCTCAGAGGATGGCAATCACAAACCCCCTCTGAGGAAACCTGCCAAGAAAACTCTGCAATAGATTTGCCTTATTGTTGTGTGCCTTCAAGTCATTTCCAGCATATGGCAACCCTAAGGTGAAACTACCATGGGGTTTTCTTGGCAACATTTGTTCAGAGGAGGTTTGCCATTGCATTTCCCTGAGGCTGAGAATGTATAACTTGCCCAAATTCACCCAGTGCATTTCATGGCCGAGCAGGAAATCGAACCCTGGTCTCCAAAGTCACAGTCCAACACTCAAACCACTGTGCCATGCTGATTCTCAGGTTTGCCTTAAATCACCATAAATCAGAAATGACTTGAAGGCATGCAACAACAACAACAACAACAACAACAACAAAGGGAAAATCCTGTTTTATGGTTGTTACCTTTTCCCTTTTCCTCCCACACTTTCACATGACCCATTGTGGAAAAGGGGCACTGTCCCTGTTGTATATCTGCCTGTGGGTTTCCATGGCTGATTCAAATCCTACTCTCTAGAGTCCGACGCTCAAACCACGACACCATGCAAGGCCA